TTTCCTGGGGAAATAAATACAGCACTGGTATCATGCAAATAGAATTTTTTTGGCAGACTTGTTGGTCAGTAACCCATTTGTTCTGTTAGTAGTCTTTGCTGAAGACCTTTACCTCAATCCAGCTTCTGGGTTTCCTGTCCAGTCAGACAGCGCGATGTACCAAATCTGTCAAAGTTAGGATTTCTAGTTAAGGGAAGCCCAGCGGGTGTTGGACTGGCCAAATATAACACTGATTTCTGAAGCTTCAGCAACCACATCAAGGGAGAGTAAAAGAGGGAATGCTGCCTAAATCTCAGACACTGTATTTTAGAATCTGACAGACTGAAGTGAGGTAATGTTTCCGAAGGACAGGAGGAACAGGTCAGGATCTCAAACCAAGCAGGTGGAGATGTAAATGACTCAGTAAGTTAGCAGGAGTGTGGTTCCTTTCGGCTTCAAGGACCTCAGAAGCACAGGAACAGTAAGTGACATAAATTTTTCAGGTGCCCATTCTGACTTTCCCAGCATTTCTCTATACAACAATCCTTAGACCAACATACTTTGCTATACCACTTACTGCTGTCATTCCAGAAACTACCCCATATTCACATTTGAAGAGCCAATAGTCCCACCTTCATCTTTGTACCATCTCACAACCTTGCATGCCTCCACAACTGTTACCCTTTTCTTCGCTCAACTCAGTCCATTTCTCACATCCAATTCCACTTTCTTTCCTTTCAGGTAAGTGTACAAGCCTCCAGGGAAAGGCACAGAATTGGTGTCATCATAGGTGTTTAGTTGGATGAGGAGGGGCGAAACATGGTATGAGGAGGAGAGGTCCTTTCACTGGTAATCAATCACCTAATGTCTCTGAGGAAAAATGTGTGATTAATATCTGTTATTATTTTTAAGAGTTTAGATTTTAAAGTAATAGCCTATGGGTGGTGGTTATTTTTGGGAAAGGTTTCAAAAATACTAGGTTAGGTAGTTCTTCAGGAACAGTGACCTAATCCAGTCAGAGAGCAGGAACCCCACGGTGCATTGATGGAAAATTGTTTTCACTATGCTGGTTTACAACATGGAGTATAAACATTGAAGGCCATTAACTTACTTTTAGTTCAAAATAATCAAAGATTGAAGTTAGCTTAGAAAACCCAGAGATTGAAATCTTAGAGGAGACCTGACTGGGGTCAAAAGCAAATATAATTTCTCTCCAAGATATATGTTGTACCAATACCCATCTCAAAACAGGGAGAACTGTAAACTAAAGCATTCTCGGATAGAAGACAGTCCCAAAAATACTGAGAGAAAGAAAGGAGGTGGGGGCAGTAGAAATGAGGGAAGATATTACTGTGCTGGAGATAAAGCATGTGCCAGAGGCTAGAAGTGAGGGAAAGAATATTTCAGTGGAGTGAAAATGACTATGCTGCCGACAAATAGGAATCAAAGACTGAAAGATAAACCTTCTTTTAAATTCATTCACGGGATGTAGGCACCGTTGACCAGGCCAGCATTTATTGCCCATCTCTAATTGCTCAGAGGGCAGTTAAGAGTGAAAAACATTGTTGTGGCTGTGGAGTCACATGTAGGCCAGACCAGATAAGGATGACAGATTAACTTACCCAAAGGACATCAGTGAACCTCATGGGTTTTTCAATCAATCGATGTTGGTTTTGTGGTCATCATTAGACCCTCAACTCCAGTTTTTTTTTAAATTAAAATCAATTTCCACCAGATTTGTATCACTTATAAAAAATAATTTGGATGTGAGCATAGGAGGAATTGTTAAGAAGTTTGCAGATAACACCAAAATTGGTGTGAAGTGGACAGGGAAGAAGGCAATTGCAGAGCACAATGGGACCTTGATCAGATGGGCCAAGGAGTTATAGATGGAGTTCAATTTAGATAAATGTGAGGTATTGCATCTTGGTAAGGCAAATCAGGGCAGGACTTGTACACTTAATGGTAAGGTCCTGGGGAGTGTTGCTGAATAAAGGCACCTTGGGGTGCAGGTTCATAGTTCCTTAAAGGTGGAGTCGCAGGTAGACAAGATTTCCTTTGGAACAAGAATCATATTAGATTCAAAATGCTAACTCTGTTTCTCTCTCCATAGATGCTGCCAGCCCCGGTCAGTTTCACCAGCACTTTTTAGTTTTACTTCTATTCTACATCGTGACCCATAGAGTAGTAATGACAATGGTAGATATGGAGCAGTACAAAGAACAGTACAGCACAGGAACAGGCCGTCCAAGCTTGTGCCATCGCATTTTGCCCTTTCATACTAAAGCTGTCTTCACTTACAGGTTCTGTATCCCTCTATTCCCTTCCTATTCACGTATTCGTCCAAGTGCTTCCTGAATGCTGCTATTGTGTCTGCTTCCACCACTTCCTCTGGCAACGCGTTCCAGGCACTCACCACCCTTTGTGTCAAAAACTTGCATCTCTTTTAAACTACCCCCCTCCACATCTCTTTTAAAGTCTCCCCCACCTCGTACCTTGAACCTATGTCCCTAGTAATTGACCCCTCTAACCTGGGAAAAAGCCTCATATTTTCCACTCTATGCATGCCATTCACAATCTTATAAACTTCTATTAGGTCACTCCTCAGCCTCCTCCATTCCAGTGAAAACAAACCCAGTCTATCTAACCTTTCTTCATAGTAATTGGTGTGCTGAGATTTTCAATGTGCTGCTGCTCCATTCGTTTTTGAAAATCACTTTCGATAAAGCCATTCATTCTGGGGTGGATTTTTGACTTGCTGCTTTGTTTCCAGTTCTCTATTCCAAGTGACCTATTCACCCCTGTGTCTTGTCCTACATTATGTTTTATCCAATTAGTTCTAGGCATTTTTGATGCCTCTTTTAATTTTGTTTTTCTATTTCATTAATCAACCAAATAATTGTCTCAATATAAAGATCGTGAGATAAAATTGTGACTTCAGCGTTTCGAAATAAACTGGTTGCATGTTTACTGCTAGTGTCGTAATTAAATACAGGGTCAGAAATGCAGTTTTTTACACACACACATATGGCAGTCAAGGTTCTAGTGTTAACTCATTCACAACCAATAATGCAGATGGTCGATGGTGTCGTTACTGCAATGATGTACACTGAGTTAAGGGTATAACAAGTAATTCCATAAAGCAGCATTCTGTCAGATAAATATTATTTGTAGAAACTAGTCAGTTTCATGAAGGAACTGAAGTAGCCTCATAATATAAAGGTTCAGATTTGATTGTTTTTCAATTTCAAGTTATTTTCTTTATGTACTATATCTTACTAAACAGCTTCATGCATATTTCAAAGGATAATTTATATTCTGCGTAGTATTTTGTCTTCTAAAGATGAAAAAAATGTAAGTGTAAACCAATTGCAGTAGCAGTTCTGCCTTGCAGAAGAAATGGCATTAATGATAAGTGGGTCTATTTATAGTGTGAATCCAGACTATGCTTAAAATGATTGAGCCCTGGCAGATTGTGTGCTTGATATAATTGGCATACAACAGTGGCTAGCCCAAATTGTACCTGATTATTAATCAAAGTATTTGGAGAGAACCATATTTTGTATTGTACTTCTGATCTCTGAAAGTGTTGTTTTTCTTCACCTGTGGTCATTTCTGGCAATGGATACAAGGTGAATGCAGATTTATTTATAAACACAATGTGAATGGTCACGGATAAATTATAGATGTATATTAAGTCTGCCATTTGCTTTTCAACTTGTAAATCAATGAGCAGCTGAGCCAATTTTAAATTCAGAAGCTGCAAACTATCTTGAAACTATAATTCGTCATAGTTGTCATTTATTGTATTTATATTGAACAGTTTGCTATTACATTAATTTTGAAAGTGCTGTCTGTTGATTCAGTGCTATCATGGTGTGCATTAAAATCAAATTCATTTTCATGCAATCCTGCATTTTTCTAAGAAATAAAGTTGCAAATTTAATATAATTTTAAACGTACTCGGCAACTTTGCTCTTTGTTTAATAAGGACTGAGTGGCTAGTTTTCTTTCATTTCATGGATCCAGATTTGAATTTTGTCTGAGGTAATAGTTTGAGCTGCAGCTGTAGGAAAACCTATATGAAATCAGTTTGGTCTTTCACAGTCCAAAACACAGCTCACTCCCAGTAACAGTGGATCCACAGAATGAAACTGAGCATAACCTGAGACTAATGTCATTTCTTAGACTAACATCAGACAATGAAGGAAAACTACTCCATGTGTCTTACATATCAAAACTTTGAACATAACTCTTTCAGTGCGGAATTTCCTGCGGTTAATTATCTTTACTTGGCAAGGAAACAGAAAATATTTATTTTTCTACCTAGTATCATCTATAGCTTTTAAATGTACGTTTCTGTTAGGAAGTGGCTTATGTATTACATCTTATCACATTAAATAACACTACAAGAGAAATATTTGATAATATTGACAGGCCTGTTTTATTTCCTGCAATATCCTGTGTATCTTCTAACAATTCCAAACTCTAAACTTTATTCATACCGGTTCTCATCAGCGTTGGCTTATGACAGAATTTTGCAGATAACCAGGAGAACAGATAATTTCATAAAGGATGATAAAATATTGGTGAAGAAATTCAGGGAAGGTTACACAGCATAATTTTCAGAGATATTATTTGGTGGAATAAATGTTGCTGTACTGCATGCTGTCATGCACATGAGCACACAAAGTCTTCATTTAGAGTGGATAAGACATTTTCTATTATGACTACTATTAAACATGATTCCTTGCTTGCATTTCTCATACCATACTAGTCCCAAGAGACTCGTTATACATTATGCAAGTAGATACCGAATGGTTTGTGACTAACAGATGAAAGTGATGCATAATAGCTACATCAAAACACTGCTGTACTGGGGGAAAAGAATCATAGCAAAAATCCCAAATAAAAGGCCGAGCAACACTAATTTCCATACAAGAAATACTGAGCAATTCTAGTGGCACTTTGACAGACAAAATGCCATGCACAAGCTGTTTGTGTCTTGACATGCTACTTACCACTGCGCTAGACTGTACGTTGATGGATATGCCAGCTTGGTCCAGGTGTCAGGAACATTATCAAAGAAAAGTGCTGTCTGTAGTAACTCCATCTCAGAGGAAATTGCCAACTCGCCCTAACAAAAGCAAGAAAAAAATACACTATTTGTAGTTTAAAGAAGGTTGTGATATGAAGATGTGATAAATAACCCAGTTCTTTACAGAGAAGAACGTATTTAAGTGCAATGTTTGAAAAGGGCTGCTATTTTATCAGCTATGAAAGGTAGAAAATTACACATTTTCTGTTTCTTTGCGTTCATCTTGCTTTCAATCTAGTTAAACTTTGTTCAAAATACCGACAACACAATAACATTCTATAGTTAGGCATCAGTTTTCAAAACAGAAAATTGGAATTAAGACTTCAGTTTGATTTGCTTGCTTTAGAAACTGGTGTGAAAAATAAACTAGGAGAAAATTACTTTGGATTATATTTGCTATTTTGATAAATATTTTTAAAAAAACACATAATATAAATGAACTATAGTATCACTAGACTTTCCCACATTGGTTACAGCTGCTCTAAGTGTTCTTAATCTGCTTAAAAAGTGAGAAGCAAAACATATATTTCTACTAATGAAGATCATCCTTAAGAAACTCATGCAGTATCCTGCAGCTGGACAGTCAAAAAGTCAGCATCTTGCTTCAGGTCAGTTTGGGAGTAAGTGGAACATAAAATGCCCCACATTGTACTGAACTAACTTGATTGAGCTTTTTGATCATTATAATATGATGGATGCGTGTATAGGATGGGCTGAAGGGTGAAACTTGTTCATGATATTCAACAGCTGCATGACCTTGAATGAATCCTGTGAACATTCCTGTACGTGCTGAAGTTGGCACAATCAACATGTTTTTCTGCAGTTGTTTTCTCTGTGTCTTGCTGTTTGTGACACTGTATAAGAGAGAGAGAGTTTCATTCCAAGTCGCTGGACTGGGATCGAGAATGGTGCCCGGAACAACATCAGCTGCCAGAGCAGCCGTCGATGGAGGGGTTCCTGATGGCCGATACAACATGAGGCTTATTGTTTTCTTCCTCTCTTCTTCATTCTTTTTATTTATTTAAAAAATGCTTTTCTTTATTTGTCTTATTATTACTCAATAAATGTTCATATTTAAGCAAATTGCTGTTGGCGAGCCTTCTCTTAACTACATTTAACTGAATCTGAAAAGAACCGCTTGGATACACTCTGTGATCCAAGACAATGCGGTATGCCTAAACTTGAAAAAGGTATTTAATAAAATGTCATAGAATAGGATTGTCAGTAAAGTTGAAGCATGTGGAATAAAATGTTAATGACCATATGGATGTGGAGTTGGTTGTGTGACAGAAAATCGAGACGTGAGGAATGGTGTTTTTCAGACTGGGGGAAGATATACAGTAGGATTCCTATGGGCTTTTCTAGCAACACTGCTTTGCTTTATAGACCTAGACTTGGATTCACAGGAAATAAATTCAAAATCTATACGAAACTTGAACGTACAGTGAACTGTGAGAGGATATTGATAGACTTCAAGAGAATATAGACAGGCTGGTCAAATGGGTTGACACCTGATGAATGAGATTTAATTTAGTGTAATGCGAAGTGATACATTTTGTGAGCAAGAATAAGGACAGGCAACATACAACAAAGGTTGCAATTCTGAAGAGGATGCAGGAACACACAGGCCGTGGTATACATGTGCATAAATTATTCAAGGTGGAAAGGCAGTTTCAGAATGTTTCAAGAGGCATATGGGATCCTGGGCATTATAAATACAGACCTAGAGTACAAAAGCATGGAAGTTATGATGAACCTATATGAACACTGGCTTGATCTCAACTGGAGAATGGAGTCCAATTCTGGACAGCACATTTTAAGAAGAATATGAAAGCTTTAGTGAGGTTGTGGAAGACACTTATGAGAAAATTTCTAGAGATATGTATCTTCAGTTACTTGGATGGATTCAAGAAGCTGGGGTTGTTCTTCTTGGAGAAAAACAAGGTTAAGAAAAGATTTGGTGGAGGTATTTAAAATCATAAGCAGTGCGGATAGAATAGTTAGAGAGAAACTTCTCATTGGTGTAAGGTTTGAATACCAAAGGATGCCAAATTATGATAACCTCCAAAAGAATCAATGGTGATATGAGGATTTTCTGATACAGTAAGTGGTTAGAATATTTAATGACTGTGGTGGTAGCAGATTAAATTGTAGCTTTCAAAAGGAAACCGAGTTTGTACCTATCGAAAAAAAACAGAGCTATGGAGAATAGTTGAGTATAGACATGATGGCTGAATGACCCCTTCTGCCATGCAAGTATTCTGTGATTTTTTGAGAGTTTTATGAATACAAAATGAGACTCAGATTGGCAGCTATATTGAGAGATACTGACTTCCAGGCATCTTGGACGTCCACCTAAATCAGAAGAAGAACTGGGTGTGGAGATGACTTTTCAGATTTCCGGCCAACTAACGCTTAGTCCTTAAATGGATTGCTGGATGCAATTAATGAGAAGGCCTTTCCTCCATCATAAGATCAGGAATGGAGATCTTAGCCGATGACTGCACAACAGTCAGCTCCATTCATGATTACTCAGATACTGACGCAATCGAGGTCCAAATACAGCAAGACCTAGGCAATATTCTGATTTGGACTACTCAGTGGCAGGTAACATTTATGCTACTCACGTAGGTAATGATCATCCCCAAAAAGAGAGATTGTAACCAATGCGCTTGACATTAAATGGCATTACTATTACTGAATCCCTCTCTATCAACACCCTGGCAGTTTAACTATTGACCAGAAACTGAACTAGACCATATTAATGCTGTGGCTGCAGGAGCAGTTCAAAGGCTAGGAATCCTGCAGCAAGTAACACTTCATGACTCCCCAAAGCCTGTCCACCATCTACAAGACACAAGTCAGGAATATGATAGAATACTCCAACAACACTCAAGGAGCTTAACATCACCCAGGACAAAGCAGTTCACTTGATTGGCACCACATCCACACACATTCACTTCCTCCAACACTGATGCACAGTGGCAGCACAGCAAAAATTCACCGAGGCTTTTTTGAAAGTACCTTCCAAACCTAAAACTGTTATCATCTAGAAGGACGTGGGAATACCATCACCTGCAAGTTCCCCTCCAAGCCACTTGCCATCCAGACTTGGAAATATATTGCTGTTCTTTTAGTGTTACTGGGTCAAAATCCTGGAACTTCCTCCCTAACATTGTGGGTCTACCCACACCCAAGAACAGCAGCAATTCAAGAGGCAACTTGTCAGTAACTTTTCAAGGGCAAATATAGACAGGCAATAAAAGCTTGCTCAGCCGGTGAACATCCCCAGATGAAGTTTAGAAATCCAGTCAGTTTTAAAAAATAGTGTTAATTTGGAGCCAAGAAGATCAGGCATGTTCACCTGGCTCCACAGCAGTGCTGCAGGTTATTGCTGGCCTATACTTTTTATTTCCTTTGTTGCCTCCACTCTCTCCAGTTCTTACCTATGGACAAAGATCCCAACCAACAGTTGCACATGGGCACCTATTTAGCACCTGTAGCGGTGCAGTAGGAAGGGAAGGCAACTAGGATAGCAGCAGGCAAGTGATGCACAGTAGGTACTGCACTAGGCAATAGTTGTTGATCTTGCCAGAAATGTTCACACCCCAAACATGAATTTAAAGATTGCTCATCACTATGTATAGCAAATCACAAGCATTTTCTTAGAATGTCTCCACAGATAGCAACAAAATGAAAATTACAATATGTTTGTAACCAGTGCAAATAAAATCTAATGATTTGGTTTGCTGGAATGTTGTGTAATTTTAAAGAAATGCAAATTGATCAGCTTTTCTTGTATAGTATTATTAAAACATTGCAATTTAGTATTATTATTAGTTGAAAGGCTGTTATTGCATTCCTTCAGGACAGAATGTACTCATTGACGTGTAATACAAAAAAAACTGCATAAACTTATGACTTTGAATTGCCCATTGTATAATCCTATAGTTTAACCAAAGAAAATGAAGTGAAATACAGTAAAGCCTTTTGATCAGCATAACCATTTGGAAAAACATACTGGAGCATATTTCTAATTTTGCAACACATTGCAATTTTTACTCAAGTCTTACCTTTAGCCCCAGATCTAGTTCCTTTAATGAATGTCTCACTTCCCGAATTAGGATATTCATTCTTTCACACTCTTGGAAGCAGACCAGAATGTAAGGGGAACGCTCCGTTGTTTTAGAGGTTATATCAGCCATATTATATTCCTCTGGTAGTTTCTCCAATATTTCATCTAAAATAATCTTTACCTTTAAAAGCAGTACAAGTTGATTGTTAAGCATGATTTCTATTCAATTTTACCTCATAATACTAAAATGTAATTTACAGTAACAAAATTATTTTCCACACTTCTTAATGTGTAAGCCTTTGGATTAATTGTGCTAACCAAATTTTGAATATGAAAACCAACATCTTAATCAGTCAAGCTTGATGCTGAATAATTCCTGTTCCAATGTGTATGTCAGATTTTCAACTGTTCATCAAATTAAGAATATTAAACAAATTGCTTAGGTTGTTGCCAATAATCAGCATTCTATTTTGAATACAACATAAAGGCCAACGTGAAATATTTCACCAATTTTTTTTCCGTTCCCCAAATGTCAGGTTCAGTCACAGCCTAATTACTTTTTAGTTCTACATTTTATTTTCATTGATAGGAAATTAATAATGAAAATGTGAATACCTGTAGTCTAACAGAATTGCATTTAATCACAAATTTGTAATGTTCTGACCTTTTCTTCAACAGTTTGTGTTGCTCCTTCACCAGTTAATGAATCTCTGGGCTGCATTTCTAATAAAGTGTGGAGAAGGCTGTCTGAAGTTACAGTGAGGAATTCAATCTCTGCATTTGAGTGGAGACCATAATGTACAGGGCTTTCAGGTGGTAACATTTCATCAATGTACCTATGATAACCATTGTAATCAAGATTTGATGGAGCTACAAAACCAGGAGCCAAAGTAATTTTTCTTTCAAACTGTAACACAGCAAGAAAAAAATGTGAAAAAAATACTCATCATCTTAACGTAGTGTATAAGCATATACTTCCTTACACATTTAAACAGACATGCAATCAATATAAGCCTTATCACTAACTTCCGATCGAAGGGAACATGTAAAGTTTGGAATAAGAGGAAAAAGGGGTGTCAGGAGGAACCATCAGCATCTGAAAGCAGGAAAATGGCCAGTGGTTTTGTTGATGATCCTTCGTGAGAACTTGGGTAAATGTATGACCAAGATACATTAATTAGAAGCTTGATTGACCAGAATCAGTTTCTTTTAATTGTTGAAACAGGTGTGTCAATATACAAGGAAATGAAAAGGCATTGAAGAAGTCAAAGGGCTGAATTAGGTGGAGGCTACAGGAGATGGCATAAACCAGGAAGGAACAGAAGAAACAGGTGGCAATATCAGTGTCCAATTCCCAGTACTGGAAAATACTGTCCCCAGTTAAGATGGGGATGGGAAGGTCCTGAAATGGAATCTTGGCTAATGGCAGCAGGATGCTGATTAATTTCATTAATCAATTTCACAGTTTCACTAAGTAACTACATAAAGATAAATATCCTGAGTCCAATGGGTTTTAGTGATGTTTCAAGTATATAATGGTACTCCTATGGCTGCCTAGTGACTCCTGAAGGCTCCCAACAAATCTTAGTGGTGTTGCTACATGGCCTCAGAGAGGATGGCCTGCATTGATAAGTACTCCACACAGCAGGCCTTGTTACCATATAGTCTGACATTACACACTACCTATTGTTAGCCACTAACAGTCTCAATTAATAGCTGTTCACCCTCTCAGCCAGATGGTTATCCACTCTTTCATCAGTCCAACTGTTCCTCTCTCTCTTTAGGCTCTATCCCCATCTATCATTTACTCCTTACCCCCTCCCCCCACCCTATCTTCTGCATATAAACCAACATTTTCCCAGCTACTATCAGTTCTGAGGAAGGGTCACTGGACCTGAAACATCAACTCTAATTTCACTTCACTCGCTGACAGACCTGCTGAGTTTTTCTAGCAATTTCTATTTTTGTTTCTGATTTACAGCATCCACAGCTCCTGTGGGTTTGATAGGTACTCGATGGCTGGTCAAGTTATTAGGAAATTAGGAGGGCTGCTAAGGCATCACCCTATCCTCGTCTCTGACCCCCTGTTCCCACTTCTCCGGTGACTGCTTCCTTGTGACCCCCAGCCCACCACATTCATCTGTCTTCAATAATCCTTGATAATCAGGTAGACCTCAGAGCATTATCAGCAACAACCACTGCTCCTGGTGGCACTGTCGACAATTGAAGGTTGTTGACCTCTGATTGGCTGACAGCTATGGGTGCAGGGTTTCCACTTCCTGCGGCCAGTTCTTGTTGGAGAACCAGTGCTGGTTAGTTAAGTGCCCAAGTGCACTTACATTGCTTCAGTCCCTCGCCATAATGTGACATGGAGCTCCCTGCATCTCTGGAGCAAACGTTCACCGAAATGTGAATAGAAATACCTTCTAACTAGAAGGGAATTAAGTGAAATGTAAATGATAAAAACAAATACAAAACTGAAAACTGCATTACAAGGTCTAAAGCAGGTTTTCAATTCTCTCCACAGCCCCTCAATCTCTGTAACATACTCCAATAGCACAATCCTCTGAGATATCTGAACATCTTAATTCAGGCCATTTGTGCACTTCCAATCAATGCGCCACCATTGGCGGCTGTGCCTACAGCTGCTCAGGCACCAAGCTCTGGAATTCCCTCTCTAATTCTCTGCCTCTTTCTTACTTTCCTCATTTAAGCCACAGTAAAATCTACCTCTTTGTCCAAGCTTTAGGTTATCTGACCTAACATCTGCTTATGTAGCTCCATGTTATAATCTGTTTGTTTAACTCTCCTGTTAAATGCCTGCATTACCTTAAAGGATATATATAAATTCTTGCAAAAAGATAATGTTCAGATTAGAGAGTCAGAGTTTGGAAACAAAATGCTGAACAAAATGTTAATGTTACTAGGCACTGTAATTAGTACAGGGTGTTGGTCAAATCATGGGTGAATAGAGTAGGATAAAACACTTGCGTATTCGCACCTCTGAGCAACTTTCCTGGAGGCTATTAGGTGGCAGGTCAGAAGTTCGCATACCGGTGGTGAGTAGGCAATTATTTCCATTAAGAAACCAATAGAAATCTTTTCTGTGTTGCTTTTTAAATTTTATCAATGGATCTACTGAACTTGAGCAGCTCACCAGCTATAAGAAGGTGAAAGTTCACAGGCAGATAAGTAGAGGCTGGAAATGGAAGTCATTGCAAGCAGCAGAGCTTCAACACAGAAAGGATGAAGGATAATAAAGCACAGAAGTGAGCAGCTGGAGGATCTGCAAAGTGTGTGCACATATCAGAAGCAGATTAAGGGAAAGGACCTCCATGGTGCAGCTTGGTGAATGCTGAATTAGGGGATAGGGAGGCATTCAGATTGAGATGCATGAATTATCAATGGATCTCATGCACTCAGATTTTGACACCTCCAAGGAAGAAGAGAATATGAGGGAGGGAGAGAGAGGGAGAGGGCACAGCCACTGGAAATGGGATTACAGCATATCACAACAATATTTGAGACCCTCAATGGGCTCTCCTAGATCTATGACCAGTTAGTGCTCCAGAGTGGAGTAATCTTTCCACTCCATGCATTAGGTGATAACAATACATGCCCTGTAGGTGGTGCTGATCAAAAGGTTCATGGTCGCTTCCATGAAGTTACTCATTCTCTATATGCTCCACACCTGCCCTACCCTCACAATGTGCCCTGACAAAACTTCTCTGAGCATCATTATCTCTTCCTTCATTGTCATCAAGAAAATAAGCAATGACACTCCACACTATCTGTCTCCACTCGTTGCCACTATGAGTCTATTGGTCCTGCAAATAGACATACGCTGTGCTACTGGTCTGCCATCGTTCAGCTGCATTTGCCATTCAGTGCCATTTCAAGGTCCAGCATTTTATCAGTTGGAGAGTACACGGCTAGGGACTATTTAAAATGGGCAATGCGGCGAACAATGTTAAGTGACCTGGGGCACTCATTTGGAGATTTAACATATTTTGCTGTGAAGAGGTGCCTGTTCACACCTGATGTCCAGACCAGTGACCTCTTCACATTCTACTGATTTCTTTTGTGATCTTCAGGGCTGCAAGCTTGATATTGTAAATGCCACTCATCTTGTCAAATCACACCAGGTCATTCAATTGCTTGCAGCATTGCACCTAAGCTTGCGTGACCACCCTATAGTTGCTGGCTTCCTCCAGCTATGCCTTCTTCTTAAGACTGGCTGGCTTCCGCATCCTGTTACCTGGATGGAGCACTATCTTCCACGCCCTTGTGCCTGGAGGAAGGTGGGAGAGGGGAAGAGGTGTCACTAAACATGGGAGACACCTATTCTTTGGAAGACTCCCTTCTTTCTCATTGTCTCTTCCTTTTAACTTTGATCTAAATGTTTCCATTCATTTAAAAAGGGTGCCTTTGATTAAGCTTCCAAAACTTCTGCCCACCTGCCATCCATTAATGGCAGGCTGACAGCAAAATCCACTTGTCTAGCCTACCACTGTCCATGCACCACACAACCTGATCAGGAAAGTGAACTTGGTACTTTTTCCCATCCGTTCAAATTCAGAACCCCTGTCTCTCCAAGCTTACATTCAGCCTGTTTGGAAAAATGCAAGAGACCAATGATAGAAAAGTACTGGAAGTTGTGAAGTTTTAATTTAATTCAGAGTACAATACTAGGTCCATTCAGGTCAGGTGGGGCAGACAAAAATTCAATTTCCCTATGGCAGGTTAAATTTTTTCAATAATTTCTCAGAACGCTTAGGCAGGTTGGCTTTTGTGACGTCTATGGTCAGGGCCCTATTTTGCATTCATTAGCATGCCTTGACAATGTACTGACACTCCGGTCTAGTGGAATTATATTCAAGGTCACAATTTTGCTACTCAGATACTCAAACTTCTTCAGTAACTTGGCTCCTTCATAACCAAGGCACCACTTTGTGTAAATGATTATGATACAGGGAATGACAACTGTGTAGGTCAACCAGCTCATCTTACGTCCCAAGCACATGCAATCTTTCTTATTGCTGTTGAACACTTACCACAGGAGGCAGCCATATGGGCTGACACCAGCCAACCTGACAGGGGCAAGGTAAGTGGGGCTAAGCACAAAGTGAAGTTTAACCCAAAAGGCTCTCTTTTCTGGTTGCATCATTGTCCCATACGAGCCTTTCGTAAAATAGGTATCAGTGGTATGCATTCTCCTAGTTGTGCTGAGAGGTCAGTGAGCTGATGATGTGTGAGCTGCTGAGTGTTGTAGCCTCTTTTATAATTCAGTATGAATCCTGGCAGATGTGTGAGAGGCAGTACCACTGATATGCCAGTAAAACTACACTGTTAGCTGCAACAAAGTGACAGACATTGAGCACACATGAGGCAGCTGATGGAGATATCTGGCATCCAACCTTCCGTGTACCAGTCCTCTCCAGTAACAACCTTATGAAGTTTACCAGATTCATGGGGCATGGAGTAGTGCAATTCAAATCCTGGAAGAGCACACCAGATCATTCATCCTCTTGTGCCACCCACAAGCTCTGACATCTTTCTTCAAATGCACAGGCCCTCTGGTTTTTTTTTTACCAAATCTGTTTGGACATATCATGACACACCTCCAGGGCAGGTGGGACTTGAACATGCATCTTCTGGCACAGAGGTAGGGACACCTCACAACTGTGACACAAGACGCTAAACTGATGTGGATCAAGGCACTATTGAGATATGAACACAGATTAACCGACTAAGCAATGGCATACAACCTCAAACCAGGAGTCAAGAGAAGTAATCAACAGGATTTGAACATGTTGGGGAGGCCTCAAGGGATTGACTAATCCACCACCAGAATAACTCTGCCAAGACTGCATGCAAAAATCAATCTGTTTGGACATATTATGACACATCTCCATGACTATCACATCCTTAGGTGGGGCTTGAACCTTGATCTTCTGGCCCAGTGGTAGAGACATACCAATGCACTAAAAAGGCCTCAGGGCACAAACCATCTGTATGCAGGCTTATATCAGTACTTGCCTATAATTGATTAATAGGTGGTGAAAGAGGGAGACATTTGTTGAATCATAATCTTAATTTCACCTCTATTTTGGGAAGCCACCATAATTCTCTTCTATACAAATTAAAATATTGTAATTGTGTGACAAAACCATCCATGATATTGTAGAAACCTTTGAGGAAATAAAATTTCAAAAATGTCAGATGCTTACTTTTGGTTTATTTCATGTCAATAATTCTCAAACTGTACAGCACGGTTAAATGCTGCAAGAAATGCAAGAAAAATATCCATAAGTCACAATCTACCTCATCTAATACTACACAGGCAAAATACCAGCAATGCTGAAAATCTGAGAGAAAATGAATTAAAAGATTAAGGTTAGTTGTACTGCAAGATCATTAATTTGAAACGTTAATTTTGTTTCTCTCTCCAAATGTAACCTGACCTTCTAATTCATCTCCTGATATACAACCACCAGCTTGATTCATCAGAAGTTTGAACTCCAACAAAGGTATGCAGCACAGCAAATAAGTAAGGGAAAAATAGGAAAGGAAACATAAAAGTCGTGTGACATGAAGGGAGAGAAAAAACACACTTGAAAAAGACAGAGAGAAAAATGGAGGAGAAATAGAAGTGATTGAGAAGAACGATAATGCAAGATTTGCTGCTGTTCAGCTTACACCTACTAACGTCCATTGTTTGTGAATTCATAATTTACATAAAATGTGAGAACATGGGAAGGCTAATATTTTATGAATAATTTGTTTTCACGTGGGTATTGATGCAAATTGGAAAAGGTATTCTCTCAATATTATTCTGTATTAGACAATTGGAGACAAATTTCCAGTAGGGGGAGCCCTAGTTCCAGTAACTTGAAATTTCAGACAGCCTGTAAAATTGAGAATCACATTCACCTGGTCAGGCTGCATGTACTCTTCTAGATAAGTACGACATAGTCTTCTGTCCCAGTCATCGGTAATATGACCTCCATAAATAATTTCACCAAACAGATAACGCAAATCTTCCCATGGTACCTAAGACCCCAAATAATTTAGTCAGACGTCACATTTCAAACAAAAATATGAACACATTCTATGCTCATGAACAAATATCAGCATATTTTATTAACGTTGTCATAATAATCTTAACTCCATGAGACTTATTCTATAATAAAGAAAAGGGAAGCAACTGCTAAATAATAAACAAGGTTACTGTCAACAGCAATCTCACAGCTCCTGTATAAAATAATTAGTAATCCATAACAGATCGAATAAATGTAATAGTCCACCACTGATGATGCCTTCTTGATATTCTTCCAGTCATCAACAACTAATTAACTGACTTACTTTTTAACATGTCAAGTAAGGTTACAATAATGCAGCACCACTGACTTAGGATTTCATAACCTTAAAACAAATTTGTCATCTGTTTGATAATGGGAAAACTGAGCCTGTTCAATAACAGAAGTAAATTTCATCTACCCTCTTATTCACACACTTACAAAACCTTCTGCCCTGTTATCTGCTAGGCAGCCTAAAATGTTAATGGAAAACAGGGCTACTATTGCAGAAAATATTTGTACTATTAACTCATTAATATTTATATAGCTATGGAAATTGGAACAACATTCCAACTTGACACTAAATAAAGAAAAGCTTACACCATGCAGACAGTATTGTCATGCTGGGGTGGTGCTTAACCCAGATACCAGAAATCAGGAGATTTCTCCAAAAACTCTTTCTGGTACTCAGAATCCAGTTTACATTACAGAAGTAGTAATAGGGAAACCAATGGGGCTAAAGATTGATAAGCTATCTGAACCTGATGGGATGCAACTAGGATATTAAAGGAGATAGCAAGAACTGCAGATGCTGGAGTCAGAGTCAACACTGTGTGGAGCTGGAGGAACACAGCAGGTCAGGCAGCATCAGAGGAGCAGGAAAGTTGATGTTTCAGGTCGGGACCAACTCGGATATTAAAGATATAGAGATAGCGGATGCACTTGCAATCTTGCAAAGGTTGTTAGTTTCTGGAGAATTCGCACAGGATTGGAAAACTGCCAATGTAGCACATTTATTCAAAAAGGGAAGGAGACAAAAGGCAGGTAACTGTAGGCCTCTCCACCTATCTGCTCCTTTATCCATCTTCCATCTGCCTCCCCCCCTCCCCATTTATTTCAGAATCCCCTTCCCCTCCCCCATTTCTGAAAAAGGGTCCAGACCCAAAACGTCAGGTTTGCTCCTCTGATGCTGCTTGGCCTGCTGTATTCATCCAGCTCTACACCTTGTTAACTATAGGCCAGTTAGGTTAACAACTATTGTAGGGAAAATAAAGAATATAACAGTAAAGCATTTAGAAATATATAATATGACCAAAAGGCATCAGCATGGCAGACAAATATACTGGGACTCTTTCAGGAGTTATCAAGCAGGATAGAGAAAGGGGAAGCAGTGGATATAACATATTTGGACTTTCATAAAGTGTTTGGTAAGGTACTACTCATGGACTACTTAATAGCAGCCCATAGTGTTGAAGGCAGTATATTATCATGGACAGAAGAATGGCTGACAAACAAATGACAGAATTGGAATAAGGGGGACATTTTCAGAATGGAAGTGCCTCAGGGATAAATTATATATTAATGACTTTGGATGAGGAAATGAACACATTCTAGTCACAAAAGAAGATGATATAAAAGTGTGAAGAATAGAACAGCTGAATATTATTTAAATAGAGAAAGACTGCAGAAAGCTACAAAACAGAGGCATTTGGGAGTCCTCATCCACGAATCACAAAAAGCAAGCATCTAAGTTAAGCAGGTACTAGAAGGCAAATGGATTGTTGGTCTTTATTTCCTACGAAATGGAGTATAAAATTAGGGAGATTTTGCAAAAACTATACAAGGCACTTGTCAAGGCCATAGCCTGGAATACTGTGAACTGTCTGTCCCCCTTATCTAAGGAAAGATCAATGAGCATTGGCAGTATTCCAGGGAATGGTCATTAGGCTGATACCAGGTATGGAGGGACTGTCTTATGAGGAGAAGTTGGGTTGGTTGGGCCTATACTAATTGGAATTTAGAAGAATGAGACAACCTTATTGAAAGAAACAAAACTCTTAGGGGACTTCGCACGGCAGATGTGGTAGAAAATTCAGGACCAAAGGGCATTATCTCAGAATAACAGGTCGCACATTTAAGACACAGATGAGGAGAAATCTCTTTTCTCAGAGTTTATGAATTTGTGGACTCCTTTACTGCACAGGGCCATGGAGGCCGGGTCATTAAGTAAATTCAAAGGTGAAGTAAGTGAGATTTTCAAATCAGTAAGGGATTAAAGAATTATAGGGAAAAAGCAGCAAAGTAGAAGTAAAGATGATCAGATCAGCGATGATCTTACTGAATTGTGGAACAGACTCAAATGGGCTCAATGGCCTAAATTATGCTACAACATCTTATGGTCTTATTAACACTTAAGGTCTAGAAAAATATCTTCTGCTCAATTGATCTATATTTTTTGTAGGAATTGTACATGGGTCTTTTCTATCCTTTAAACTAACTTGCTCTTTAAGCGAGACGAAAATGCTAAGTTTGTAGAAAATAGGAAAATATAGTTTAAATGATGACACATAAAGGTTAGCAGTTCAATGTATTTTTGCTATATCTTGGTAGATGTATGTCCAAATGCCAAAACTGTTCTCAATACATCAATTTCAGCTTGCAGATGTCAGGCTGACTGAAAAGAATGGAAAAGTCACTGAGCACAACAGAATGAAATCCATCAGCTGAGACATAACTACTGCAATCGAGAAATCAGGGAGGGCTGGCAGTTCAGTAATAGTATTGGATCACTGTTAGAGAATAATGGTGACGTGTCTGCTCATAGCATCATAGTCTTGCCTGTTCTTCCATCCATATCTTAATGGTTTAATCATAATATTTGAGCCCTAGCCATTAGGTATAATGTGCCATCAATGAGGTACGTTAATTCATGCACTGCTGCCTAGAGTTTATAAAGAATTTAACAAAACTTGATAATGAAATAAATACAACTGACTGACCATTTTCTTTGCTTATCAGTGAGATGGCTAAGAAAACAGTTCTATGAATCCCAAGAATGTAACAAAATAGTCCTTTTCCACACAACATATGAAAGTTTGCTGAATTTGAAGCATACACAAACTTTGGGAAGGAAACAGGGAACACATTTCAAAATGCATAGGAAATAGGCAACACTCACACGGTCTTTCAACATATTCAATTGGTTCCAATACAAAATTCTAAAGTTAAATAATTCTGATTATCAGATGGTTGACTAATTTTGTAATTTCAGTGCTTCTTACATTTTCAGAGTTGTGATCAGAAGAATATTGGATATCCAAACATGAGCCTCACCACTTTATGCAATAACAATCATGGTCAATCCAAGTACAGAATTGTTCAACTGCTGTTTCAAAGTCAGCCAGCAGAAGCCATTTAAAATTATTTGAGAGTCCTGGGACACTCCATACAAATTAGCAAAACAGAAATGCCACTTAAACTTCAGTTTAAGAGTTGCAAGGTGGGATGCAGATAGGCTGGAGTGCAATGAAAGATTGATCAATAGAACGACAGTGAGAGATAGTTTCCAGGTGGACTTTTCATTATACTTCAAAAGACGGTCATGATTTGAGTTATTTAGATTGTGACTGATTTAGATCAAAATAACTTTATGTTATATTCCCCATACACTCATAACATACTGTATAAACAAGAAGTCCTTTCAGTTAATTTGAATACAATTAGCATTTCAGTTATCTGCACAGTACCTGAGAATTAGCTTCTAAATAGCTGAATAAAATATGGACTGAGATAGTTAGGTCTCCAGTATTAAAAGGATACTTTCGATTCCAGCCCTGAGGTCCAAATTTACGCCGTTCAGCAACACAGGCATGAAAGTAGCACAGTGAAAACAGTATTGTTTTAAACTCATGTTCACGAGAGCATTGATCCAGAGTATCCTGTGATGAAAGGTATACAAAGTGTGCTTAGTATAACAAATGTAAATCATTTTCATAAAATAGGAAAAACAAAACCTGCTCTGGATTTTTGGTTCAGAAGATCAAAATTTAAACAATCCCCAGATTAGATAGCCAGATTTGCACAAATGACATAAACAAAATGTCATCTTCACTAAAATTTAAATAATGAATTCATTCTATCACTAGAAAAAACATTTTTAAAATTACAGCGAATGTCACAATACAGTTGTCATCCAGAGGAGAATGTAGACTTTTTATTTGGCTTTCAGAGTAAGCACAGTATCAAGATAATTGTAGCCTTTGTGCTCTTTTCATCCACGAGTAAAGTGTCAGCAAAGAATTTGCTTTCATTAAGCAGTGTGGTTCAAACCAGGACTATCTGCAGTTATAAGCAACTGTAGAACTAGACGGTCACATCTCACATTCTAAATTTGTAAATAACCAGGAAAGTAAGTGGTTGAGATAAAACAAAGATTTCAATTAAGTTTGCTTTGCTAAGTTTCTTTCTGGCAAAAAAATCTCCACGCTCTTTACTTTTGGACATCAGGATTCTCTCAATCAAGTATTTTTTCCTATCTTCCCAAAACCCTAGTCCATCTCTTGATGAAAAGTTGACCCTCTCCCAAGCCTGACCAATAATAGGAAAACAGAAGTGTGCAATTGTGATTTCATTTCCTTCACTGCTTGTGGGAAAGTGTCTTGTTTCCACTCAGTATCTGCACATAACAACATGTAAAGTTCAGCAACTCTGCCTGCTCTCTTAGATACAACACTCAACACTATCCTTGCAATGGATTAGCATGATTGGGCTCCTGGTGGTACTAAGCCACACTTAAATTTTTGTAGATCACAAATATAATATACACCACTTTTAGCTTGAAAGGTATTGTTGAAGAGTTGAAAAGGAACTTGCATTAAAGACTATTGTAAACATATTCTTCTACAAAAGTGGGCAAAAAGCAAATGCATGACAGCAGGGCCCCCCCATTTACTCTTGCATCAGCAATGCTGATGTCCCAAACCAAAATTTTAGAACAATCGTTTTAATAATATGGTTAAACAGCATTCAAGAAAGATGTCACATTTCCTTGATCCCCATGATTTTTTTCTGCTATATGCACAGAATATTTAAGTTGTACAACATTTCTTATTGTCCGCCAAAACACTGAATATCAGTCATACCTGATCAAAATTGTCCAAAGCCGCATGGAGATTAGCTAGCATACCAGTTGGTGGTTCATTGGTAATTTTAACTGAGTTCTCAAGGATTCCTTGTGGTATAACGTGCTCTTCAGGAGTTGGAGCAGCTTCTGCACTCATGAACACACGATAGTCTGGATGGGATCTTTCGCTGTACTCCTCAAGAAGCTTTTCTAAATTGCTTAGCCATTTAGCGACTAAGTGAATATTCTGCAAAGCCATTTGAACAATTTTTTTGTCGTTAAAAATTTGATACATTCAAATACATTGCATACACCTACTAAATTTTTATCTCAATTGGTAATAACTAAAACATTGTGAAGCCATTTAGAGGGCAACAACATTACACGCTGAGCTGCACACAGTACATGACACAGGTCTGTGGACCTCCTAATCCTTGGAGAATCTAATGCACCATCTTCCTTGTGTGCTGTACACCACCCTGACCCACACATTGCTGAACACTAGCAGCTTTGCACATGGAGGCCAGGGGAAGAATAGGAATGTTCCACCACAAACGACAACGGTGTCAGCTCTATATATAACTTGTTTATCTTGCTCCCTCATGCTGCTCATAGGCTCTCAACACAGACATTGACCAATGATAGATCTTGTAAATTAGGCTTCATGTTGGCACAGTGACATTCGGAGCTATACAGAGACTCAAACAAATGGATATGGTGTAAGACCAATCAATTTTATCCAAATGTGACATGTTATCTATGGTGCACTGTCACCATACCAGCAATGTGTCCTCAACAGGCTTTCTTCTTCCTCTCTTTCTCCCCTTTGATGTTTTATTCATAGTCATACAAAATAGAAACAGGCCTTTTTGGCCCACCATGTCTATGCCAACAAACAAACAACACAGTTCATTAATCCTATTTATCTGCACTTGGTCCACAGCCTACTATGCTCCAGCATTTTAAATCCTCATCCAGATGTATCCGAAATGTGGCAGAAGTACTTGTCTCAGAGATAGTAGCTACTGCAGATGCTGGAGAATCTGAGATAACAAGGTGTAGAGCTGGATGAACACAGCAGGCCAAGCAGCATCAGAGGAGCAGGAAGGCTGACGTTTCGGGCCTAGACCCTTCTTCAGAAACTCATATTCCGCTTGGGAACCCTGCAGCCCAATGGTATTAATGTGGACTTCACAAGCTTCAAAATCTCCCCTCCCCCTACCGCATCCCAAAAACAGCCCAGCTTGTCCCCACCTCCCTAACCTGTCCTTCCTCCCACCTATCCCCTCCTCCCACCTCAAGCCCCACCCCCATCTCCTACCTACTAATCTCATCCTGCCCCTTTGACCTGTCCGTCCTCCCTACCTTCCCACCTACACTCACTTTTACTGGCTCCATCCCCGCCTCTTTGACCGGTCTGTCTCCTCTCCTCCTCTATCCATCTTCTATCCACCTCCCCCTCTCTCCCTCTCTCCCTATTTATTTCAGAACCCCCTTCCCCTCCCCCATTTCTGAAGAAGGGTCTAGGCCCGAAACGTCAGCCTTCCTGCTCCTCTGATGCTGCTTGGCCTGCTGTGTTCATCCAGCTCTACACCTCGTTATCTCAGAAGTACTTGCCTTTCGGGCAGCCCATTCCATATATCTACCGCTGTCTGGGTGAAAAATGTTTCCTCAGATCCTCTTTAAACCTTTGGTTTTAGATACATCTGCCATGGGTGTCCCTGATTCAGCATCAGCGATGGAGGGACCCTGCTTGGCACTAGAGCTCACTGCCTCAGAGGTTTGGTTGGACAACCCTGAAGGCATTTGTGTCTGGACAGCCCTGACATGCTGGGGGAGATTGACGGACTCAAATGGACCCTCCTTGGCTGGAATGTCCAAGGGTTGGAAGGCGACAGGCAGGTTGGAGTTGGAGAGCCTGGCCACCACTGATGTCTGGAGAAGAGACATCTGAGGAGCTGTCTGTAGTTCCTCCTCCGGCTGGGTGCCTCCTGGCACAGCCTTGTCTCCTCAGGAGGAAGGGCCACATGGACTGCTCACCAAGCTTCCCCTGTCACCATGTCTTTGGTCATGAACATCAATGACTGGGAAATGGAATGTAGGTGAGTGCTTCTCTAGCAGACTCCGAGGGTACTGGATTGGTGTTTTCATGGCAATTACCAACCTCTCCAGGAGACAACTGCACATTTGAGGCAGCTGGATGCTCAGAGCATAGCTGTACCCATGCAGCTCCTTTGCAATGATTCCACTGCCTCCCAGTTACTTGTCTGCTGTTCCTGTTCCTCCGGAGCATGTGGACAAAGTCCCCGGATTGCCAGTTCCATAGGATCCTCTCCTGCCTGGTCATCAGCAGGTGCCTGGTCTCCGGCAGTCCCGAGTGCATTTCTTCCTCAACCAGCTACAGAGCTGTTGCACTGAGGGGGTCGCTGCTGGTGCTCCCATGATTTCGAAACATGACATTCCCACCAAGGTGTCAGAATCTCAATGGGAGTGGGGAGAAGGCAACTGAACTTCCTGTGGCACTGTCAGCCACTCATCTGGACTTAGGAGATGCCATTTACCCAGGTGGTGACCTTTGACTAGAGAGCCAGTGTCTGGTAACATGGCCTTGTCTGCTGATCCTATGGGAAGGGTCTGCCCTCTTCTCGATCATCCTGTCAGCTTGGATCTCTAGGTGTCTGTCAGAGAATTGCAATGCCATCTTCCACCTTTCCCAATATCTTCAGACCGAACATCCATCACCAAGCCAAGCAGCATCAGAACGCCAGTGCACGTCCAGGGTGCAACGGACATTACATTATGATGTGGCTGCCAAGTCTATGGAAGAATGGATCATGGAATGGGGGACAAGGGAAAAGGACTAATATGGTTCTGCAGCAAGGACAGCATTTAGTCCTCAGTAGGGGCCCTTCTTGTGGAAGGGACAACCATTGCCAACCTCTGGCCCTTCATGCCGGAATGCCATAAACAACCTATCTGCTACTGAGTGAATACCAACAGCAGTGGTATTAAGGACCTCAATTAGTGGCAGCACTAGGGGTTACAATTAGGGGTTACACTTTCTCAGAAGTATTTAGATTATATTGTAATATTACAAACACTTTGCTACCTTTTAAATCAAATAATGAAAACCACATCCATTACAGTACAAACATACGTCACACAGCCTAACTTGCCTGCAGAATAACCCAGTATCCTTCTTTAGCTGCATTTGTCATAGCTTGTTCAGCTATTGCTTCTTGTCCCTGGCCAAGGGATACATTATGGAGTTTTCCAGAATCTATGGTGAAGCCAAGTTTTTTTCCTAAGTGGTATAAAAATACATATCAGGGAAATATTAAGTCTAAACAAGTGAAGGTAAACAGCTTAGTGAAAGTCAGGCTGTCTTTACCCGCTCTGTTAATGTTAGCAAACATTAGCATCTACATAATAAATCAGAGGCAATGGCCTAGTGATATTATTGTTGGACTATTAATCCAGATACCCAGGTAATGTTCTGGAGACCCGGGCTCGAATCCTGCCACAGCAGATGGTGGAATTTGAATTCAATAAAAATATCTGGAATTAAAAGTCTAATGATGACCATGAATCCATTGTCGATTGTCAAGAAAAACCCATCTGGTTCACTAATGTCCCTTCGGGAAGAAAACTGACACCTTTACCTGGTCTGGCCTGGCCTACATGTGACTCCAGACCCACAGCAATGTGGTTAACTCTTAGCTGCCCTCTGGGCAATTAGGGATGGGCAATAAATGCTGCCTAGCCAGCAATGCCCTCATCCCATGAATGCATGCATAAAGAAACTTCATGTTGAATGTCATTGCTGCAAGTATTGGAAGCTGGAGATGTGTTGCCAATATACTATTTAAATATCAATACTTATTTATGTTGCACCTTGGCAGTGATTTATAAAATTTCTCAATTGATAAAATTTCCATCAGAGCATTCCACACAAACAACTTTACTGAAATTATAACCTGTTGTAAGGACCGTGTCTTTTTATTTTTATATCTTTAAAAACCATGGACTGCAATGCCAAAGAGCTGTTTTTGAAAACAGATATTTACCAGGATGCCTGCATATTTTTACAGTAAGGAATTTGATATTTATTGTGAGTACCATTTTTGTGGCTGTGGGTTCATGCAACTTGCAAATAATCGGTAGCAAGGGAGTAATTTACAAGTGAAGCTAATTGATTCTCAGCTAACTAAGCAGGTTGGAACTGGAAACAAGTTACAGAGACACAGACACACAGAGAGAAATACACCAGAAGGGATGTTATCCCCAGCAGAAGCTGTCTGCTCTCTGCAGTTTTAAAAAGCTGTTTAAACTTAAAGAAAGCCAGTTATCCTTCCTGTGAGCTGTGACTTTTGAATTGATAAATCCAAGACATTTTCTAAGTGAACCAGTCACTTTTAGAGAAAGACAAGTGAACACCAAGGGTCTGGTTAGCTGAGGGAGGATCATCTCAATATCAGAATCTAGAAGCAAAGACCACTGAACTAACTTTGCAGCTTTTCTACCTCCTCCAATAATCAATTTTCCCTATACGCTTATCTGTGTGTGTGTAAAAGGGGGCATTTGTAAGGGAACTAGAGTTTTAGTTAGTATCATTATATTTGTTAACTTGTAGCTATCATACCCAGGTCCATGCTCTCGATCAACTTCAATCTGAAAATCAGGTAAATTGAAGTACGGTACATGCATAAAAAAGACTTCAGTATCTGGTACAACTCCAGGAATAGTTGGGGTCACTTTAAGGCATGCTACCCCAATGGATCATAACACTATCAAGATTCTACTCAACCTTAAGTGGTGCTTCATATGGCATTGTGTTATTTCTTTGCCCAAAGTTTTAAAAATTTTGCTTTGAAACCCTGGTGGTTTTAGGAACATCTAAACAAGAGTAAGCGATTCAATTCCTGAGCCTGTTTCATCATTCAATGATATCTTGGATGTTACCTGTCCGTATACTGCCTTTGGCCCACATCCCTTAACAGCTTTGTTTCACAAAAATTTATCTAACTCAGATTTAAAAATAACGACTGTTCCAGCATCCGTTGCCGTTTTTGGAAGAGAGTTGCAAACATCAACCACCCTTTGTTTATACAGGTGCTTCCTAATATCTTTCCTAAATAGTCTGGCTCTAAGTCTGTGACTATGCCCCCTAGTTTTAGAATCCCCAAAGCAGTAGAAATATTTTAACTTTATCTACCCTATCTTTTCATGTTAATATTTTGAAGGCTTTGATCAGATCACCCCTTAAAGTTCTAAATTCTGGAGAAAACAGGCGTCATGTGCATAATCTCTCCTCATAACTTAACCCCTAAAGTCCAGTTAGCTCTCTTGTAAACTTTGCTGTGCAGAAGTCGAGACTTGTGCTGGCAGCTTTGTATTTTAATGCTGACCAAAGTATTGTGCAGAAAAGACTGACAATGGAGTTTGTCTCTTCTTCCAGAGCAGATGGAGAAAGTAGAAAAACAGAGCTATGAACGCTAAATGATTTATATTATGGCTTTTTTAAATACACTTGCAGAACTTGGCATCATCTGCTAGGCCAGCATTTATTGCCCATCCCTAGTTGTTCCTGAGAAGGTGGTGTGAGCTGCTTTCTTAAACTGTCGCAGTCCATGTACTATGAGATAAAACTGGAATGTGCAAATCTTGTAAATAATAGCAGGTTGTCATTTAGCTTAACTGAGGCATTCAAGACTATAGATCATATTCAAGTTTAGTGATTGTTTTATATCAAACCTGGTCTCTATTGTTTTTAAACTTTAGCTATGTGGGGTTATCCAGCGTTCCCTGATTACATTTCTTCCTTGATATTAAAAATAGACCTTCAAACATGCAAAAACCTAGTTTATAAATTTAATATCAGGAACGTTAATTATTCTTAGACATTGTTGTGAAGGAAGTCTTCCTTTAAAAATTAGGGATCAAAGAGGTTTTAAGACTCATAAATGGGGAATAGAGTTACAACGGGAGAAACTTTCTGCCAATTACGGAATTAACAATAATTACTTAGGTTAATGATTATCATCAAAAATGTGAAGGAGAAACTTAAGATTGTTGAGACTGATCTGCCAATAATAACACATACCATAGCTACCAAGTATTCACCCAATAGAAGTGGATAAATCCAGACTGCGAATGCTCATGGCCTATCCAGAGCCAGTAAAAAACTTGTAATGCAGTCTCTGTTTGTCTCCCAAGTGTGATTTACCAATCTAAGATTACATCGCAAGTCATCTAATGAGGCTTCTATCTGACCATTCATTTTGAATGAGTACAAGTACTGTGCAATACAGCATAACATATGGAACAAACATTGCAGGACAACAAATTGTCACAGCAAAACAATCTTTAGAAATGCTACTGGAACTTGTCTTCAAGCAATGCCACGTTCTTTCTACCTGCTTTCCTCAATTTGAGATATACAACTTTCCAGGAGTCACAACTTTGAGATCTATATGGTTGTACAAATGCAAGATCGTTATGATATACTGAACAGGTAATAATTTGTGTACATTATTTGTTCTTGTAGCTTAACTCACCTAAGGATTCTACATCTTTCAGTGGATTGACTCCAGAAGAGAGAATGAAGAAGATTGGAGATGCTGGATCGCTTTCCCGAAATGATTTAGCAAATTCTATTTGACGGCCCTCAACGTATTTTGTTCCAAGCTTCTCTTCTACAAATTTTCTGTAAAATTATTTAAGCTACTTTAACTATGAGTCACAAGTTCCTTCGTTAAAGGATAACAAAAACTTAAAATCACATTGCATAAGAAGAAATAACTTGAAGGAATAGTGACATTTTCAATCTCATGAGATTCTGACAAATGTTGAAAATGTTGCTGCAGTCTGCAATAAAGTTGCAGTTGTGAAAACATTGGCAACAAAGTTTCCTAATGATTATTTAGAGCCTAGTCGTTAAATTTATTGACAGTCTTTTTGGCTGAGTGACATTTCTATCTATTTTTCATCTTGCTAAGCTTTCAGGTAAAAACCAGTCATTCTTGTCATCCAAAATCATAGCCACAACGCTCCCCAGGGAGCCCATTTGATCTTGGATTTCTCTCGATTCCAAGCCCTTCTCTTTTGCTTCCTTCCAAAGCCTCTTCATATAGATCCATGACCCAGTTTCTTTCAAATCCCAGATGAGGCATAGGATACACAAACTGCTGCACACTTTTAGTTTAATAGCTTGGCACAATTTAACAGCATACTTCTTACAGTCCACATTTCTATCAGCAGGCAGATAGTCTACATGATTACTGGAAGGGCATGCTAGGATATCCACTCTCATGAGAAGATTACAATCAGACGCTGAGATGGGATGTCATAATTTTCATCTGTGTCATAATGAGATAGACCAATAGAGAAAACTATATTGCATTTTCTTCATCCTCCAAGTACTTTTACCCAGGTTAGACAAGGACTTCTGCCCCAACCTCCAGCTCTCCTGGACGGAAGCTTTAAAGCACTGAACCAACACTAAACCACACCATTTCCCACACACCCGTGGACACTCAACTTATCACCAGTAGGGGATCAAATTCTCAACCTTTCTTAGATCTTAATTAGATCTCATGCTTGGCAGCAATTTGCATCACAGTGTTGACATAACCCAAATTTCAAATCTATGATTGAAGCGCGTTTAAGACACTCGATAACCAGACTGAGTAAAGAAAGATGGATATGGCACTGAAAAATAAAGGGATGCAATGAAATAGATTTTTAATCATTAAGGAAATTGAGGGTTATAGGGAAAAGGTAGGAAAGTGGAGTTGAGGATTATCAGATCAGCAATGATCTCTCTGAATGGTGGAGCAAGCCTCTTCAGCTCCTACTTCTTATGCTACCAATCTACTTCAAACTGCTATAAAGAAAGTTCTCACAATGTCAACAAAGATCCACTGTCGCTGTAACTATTGCAACACCTCAAATACCTTCTCACATTCAGCACACTTGACCTGAGATTAATCAGGCCTCATTAGCCCTCATTCTAGTGTATAAAATTACATAACCATGAGTAAATTTTATTGAATTTGCCTGCGAGTGTAATGAAAAGTTTGCTACAGATTTTACTACATATAAAAACTTGCCCTAAATGCAAGTAAAACCTTTGCTTTAGACAAAGTTACAAACAACAAATGTTGTGTTCCAATCTTTTTTGGAACATTTCAACATTAAACTTATTGGGACTGAGACCAGGACTACAGTAAGCACCAGGGACTAAATTTTTATCAAGTTCTAGAAGTGCATTTTGATATGAAAAGCTTAAACTTAGATTTTTCTGGCAGAATTTGGCACTAACTTTGTACTCATTCTGCTTGGGTCAGGATTGCCATCTGTGTGAAGCACAGCCAATTTTGCCAACATTAGCTTTCCCAATACAAGGGGAGGATGAAAATTGCATTTTCCAACCACCTCCATTTTCATAGAAAGCACATAGTCAGGGATCTGAAGAAAACAATTTCTATTGTCAAGTTGTGAAGAGTTCATTTGTGAAGTGCAGCAACTTTCATTAGGGTTTTTCTGAAAAGTTTAAACTATAGAATCCAGCAATGATGGAGAGCTGACTGCTAGGAATCTGAACTGGGAGTTCCCAAGCAAATATTTCAAAGACTCCCTCAAGATGTCCCTTTGTTTTCTACTTTGACCACCAGCAGACAGAAGTGTACACTCGTCATTAATCATAATGCCTGCAAATGCAACAACAATTGTGCTACCTAAATTTTGAGACTGAGTAAAGAGCTAGCATGATAGATGAAAGTAGAAGGAAAGATTTAATTGTTCGACGCAGCAACTATCTTCAGGGTCACCTGCTGTGGGAGAATCTGCTGGTCAAGGATAGGGCTGACTAGCCATCAATGGGCCTGCAACTAATGGGTACAACCTTCCTAAGATCTTCATCCATGAAGAAATGAAAAGAGAGATGATTGTATGAATCCTGCCATTTATGGCTTTAACAATTCCTAACTTTATCACCGTTTCACTGAATGAATCGCACTCTGTCCTGTTTAAATGAACAACTCTCTTCTTTATTGCAGTTCTAATGAAAGATTTCCTACCTCTTCAGCATCCTGTATGAAGTCTGTCAAATTTTTGTTCCTGTTTAACCAACTCTCCTTTGACTTGTAATCTGTACAAGATTGCTTTAATTGCTGGCTGCATGATGTATCTGGATCAGAGTAATTTTTTTCAGTCCCTATACTTCCATTTCTGTCATCATGCCTCACAGTATTTGCTCACTTAGGGCAGTGGTGGGCAGTCTGAGGTATAAATAATTTTAAAATATCTCAGTTTTCCAAATTGGATTACTATGACATTTCAGCGTTTCCCCTGGCCCATCAGCGACTTTCAGCTTTACTCCTTCAGTTTCCAAAATCTATTTGTTTACCATTGAACTCCAAGTTGGGACTGTTCCCACTGACCAGCACTTCAGGATGCAGCTTGTGTTTGCTCTGAGTACTAATTATCCTTGTGAATGAATTGTTAAGTCTCCTGTTAAAGTGCTTCACTTTCCAGGTGTAAAATACCCTCCCTATAGTGAAGTCTTCTTCTCTGTTGTGGATTAATATGATGGTTTCTTTTGTAGGGTTTTAATCCTGCAGCTTTTCCCAGCTGCTGACTGTGCCATTTGAGCAGACAACTTAAAGTTGAGTCTGAAGATCTCACCTCACTGCTCATCACGTTTTACAACAAATCAAGTCAAACCTGCACTGCTGCCTACCATGTTTTATGGGTATGCCAGCTCACTACACTACGAGTTTTTGCTCATGATGGAAGCTGTTGCCACCATTCTCTTCCATTCTATGAAACCACAGGGCCTGCTTTGTCTAGTGTGGTAGAGGAAAAGAGATTTGCTGATCTGCCTACCGGAGTCTCTTGGAGTACACCAAATATAGTTTATCTGAAGCTATTTGTCCACAAGTCCACACAACACTGCTGTAGTGAGTGCTGCTTGTGATATTCCTCAATACTGACCCTTCATACGCACTCATATCAGTAATTACACTCCAAAGATGAAAGAACACCACCAGCTGTGTGTCTGGGCTATTTTATGGCTGTAAGCCGTACCATTTGGTGTCGTTTTATGACAGGAGGGACCAGCCTCTGCCTCAGATATGTTCCAGACCAAAATGTGAGCCTGAATGCAACTGTAGTTCACAATCTGCACTGAGAACCTGCCTCTTGCTGAAAGTGATGAAAACCATGGGTAAAGTCAGACAGTGTACTTTGGTGCAGTTTGAGAGTTGAACCATCTTGCGTTCTGTGATCTGAAGATGAAAATGTTGTCTTCTGGATGAAATATTAAACTGAGGTTCCAATTACCTGTTTAAGTAGATGCATAATATCCCATGACACTACCTGAAGAACAGCAGTGAGTTGTCTCAGTGAACTGGCCAATATTTATCTCTAATCTAAAGCTATAAATTTACTGCAACAATGACAGCACACCGCAGGTAATTAATTAACTGTGAAGCACCAGAGGACACATGCAGATCTGAGAGGCACTACAGAATCTGTAAGAAAGAACTTGCATTTATAATTTATAGCAGTAGGATCAGATTACCCGATTGCATATGTCATGCGATCTGGACGTAAAGCACGCATCATAATAAGCTTCTGTAGAGAACTTTTATTCTTCCATTCTTGAGGAAACTTTTCTTTTTCTGGACATTCAGATTCAACAACTTTTTTCCAACGTTTAGCTGAACCTTCAATATCTCTATCCAACCCACGAAACTCATCCATAAAGCTCATTGTCTGAGGACAGAATACGTGGAATTACATTTCTAATTCATACGTATTTTCTTATTTCTTTTACATTAAAAAAAATTCAATAGATGATATTTTGATCTATTGGGCCATAAACTGATTTTATAATTGCTTTATTAAAACAAAATATGTAAATTATAGAATTTAAGAAAATTGTTAGAATTAAATATGACTATGTGATGAAGTCCCAATCAGAAGCCACCCTTGTAGGCAATAAGACACCCCGAACCTTGAATATAATGCAGTATCCCTAACTTCAACCAGCTTCTTTGGGTACAGCTGCAGGGTTCGTGGTATGGGATTGCCTATGATGCTTTGAATGTAAAGTCACTTTCACAAAAACAAGAAGAAATTAGGCTTCAGCATTATATTTGAGAAATTCAAATCCAAACATAACTGAGGTGAATTTTAAGTTTAGCAAGCAATGGATGAAATTTGTGCAAAGTGATTGGATAAAACTTAGTCCCATACCTCATTAGTAGGCTGTTTCATTTTGCATCTGAAGGAGGATCTCATGACAGAGAGGACAGGTGATAGTTGGAGAATAGTCTTTGCATGAGACAGAGTACAGTAGCACTTCAACTTTCACAAGTGGGTAAGGTTAAAATTACCACAAGCTTTTCAAACTCATAAGTTAGTACACTGTTGTTTAATGCCTTTGGTCAGTATGCCTTTTAGAGACATGTTCAAAATATCGTCACTGTACCATAGCATGCGAACTAAGTGTAGAAAGGTCTCATATTCTATCCTACCTCAGAAAACATGGAGCACAATACACCATGGAAAACATACTTCTCTGCTGTCTCCTTTTAGCTTAATATTAGTTGGTCAGTTGTGTGCCTGAAGAATGTACATAATTGTTGTAATAAATTTCTGTTGGATTCTTTAAGAGCATGATTTCCATGCTTAGTTTCTTATGCTACTGCAAATAACAAGCATTTTCCACTCGAGGGAAAACGTCCTGCTGGAGGCAAACTCACATCATACGTATATCTGGAATAATAATTTACAATTAAAAACAACAAAGCAACGCATAGAAATTCATTATGTCCTATTCTTGGGTGTTTGATTGTCTGTTTCCAGCACTTCTGAATTTGTAGGCTGAAGAATCCACTGTAAAGATTGAGTCAAGCTTCCAGTACTTATCACACATTGAGATGAAGTTTGTCTGTTTTCATCCATCTAATTTGGGCTGCTTGCCTGACAGGTCAAATGCAAAATTCACTCTCCTAAGAATGGTCCATTTCATGAACGGGTAAAATGAGAGTTGAAGGCTTGATTAATCTGTACAAGGATACGATACTTGTTTTAGGTGGCCTCCAAGGACACCTGAATTACCCGATCTTAATGAAGGAGTGTTCAAACCTACGGGATCTTTGGTATACAGGACATCTTTTTTCAAAAGTTGGTCCAGTTTGTCTTTTCTTTTTGGCTGGAAGATGGATAATTCCTACTCCATAATCTTCAATAAGCAAAAGTTGTGCACACTGACACCTCGAAATCTGACTTTTTCAAGGTAATTAGCAAAGTAACCTCGGCTGAATTGTGAAATATATATTTTCTTGTCTCTTTGAATATCTGCAGCAGCCAAATCATTCAAGTAGGTTGGTTCAGCTCTGGAATGGCATATATGTTCTTAAACGCTAAGCAAAATATAACATCAAAAAGTAGCAGAAATCACTTTTTAAAATTGACAACTATATTTTGACAATTATACATAAAGTATATGATGTAACAAATACGTGGAGGTGTTCAAAAGCTTTATATATCATTTACTGTTTCTACCTTTTTCCAATTAAAAAATCAGCTAGATGTAAATACATACCTTTATTGCACTCCATGCTGTGTTTGACAGGAAGTCCACAGGACTGTTGTAATTATGGTCAATATTAAATCTGAGCAAGATGTCAAGCTCATGAGCATCTATTTCCTTGTTCAAAAGTAAAATCTGTATCAGAAAATTAGATATTCATATTACAAATTTGAGATGAATTTCTTATTTAACACACATTAAATTGGGCATTTAATCAATAAATGAGATAAGAATATCAAACAAAACATATATCAAAACTTAGTTATGGAGTTTACCATAATTTTTTATTTATAAAAATATGCACCAACCAGTACACATTAAAATAATTGATGTTCATACCTGAAATGTCATTTGGGCGGTAAAAGTAAGCTTATCCCTTTCAAACAACCCACGGTTAATGTAGGTGAATGTTGAATATGTGATCTCATCAATTAAATTAGATACCCTCACTCTCACATCATCCGACACAACAGCCTGTTGTACAGCTTTGTGAAACACAGTAGCAAATGACTAAAAACAAAACAAATTGACAGCTATTTATTTATTGCTACTATAACTGTGAAAAATATAAATACAAAAAGTGCTGCATAAATTAATGATAACCTTTAGTGAAAATCGATACATAGGATTGATCATATTAAGGTCACTCATTATAAAGAAGAGTAGAGAGGCTCTGACTGCTGCTGGACGGTAGTGTTCGCGAGCTTCATTGATCTTTATTTCATTAACTTTAGCTTCAAGCACCTACAAAGAAGATAGTAACAGTTGAATTGGAATGTTAAATAATTACAATAATTAAAAAAATTCTCCCTCACAATGACATTAACCGTTTTTTGAGTAATTCTGACCTAATGGAACCTTGTTCAAATATACAGTCATGTACAATTCTCGATGGTGAATCCACAACAGGATCTGGCTCTTAGCTAAAATCCACATTAACATACAGCAGGAATTGTTGGACATCAATCAGGAGGGAGAACTGTAGCTATTTTTCCCTCTTTCTCAACCAAGATTCCTACAGCCATTTGTTGTCTTAGCTAAGATCTGATTATTAGTATGGTCAAAATGAAATCTACTATGTTCCTGCCCAGTGTGGTCCAATTACTTATTGAATGAAATTGCTGAAACATTGGTAGAGCAACTTGAAAAAATATTTAAGGTGTGATTTATGACTAAGCAAATTATTTGAAGCTTTTTCATACCCATTTTGTTTTTCTAAAATTATTCTTTATTCAAAACACTTCACAAATTTGTTGTCACCTCTGTTAGAGAAAACGGGCAGAGGTGATGTTTTCCCCTCTGTTGTTTGTCTGTAAACAATATATCTGAAAAACTGATGACAGATTTCAATTAAACTTGGTACACAGATAGGGTATGACCAAGAAAAGAACTGATTAGTTTTTGACCAAGATTTAGATTCAGATCCTGGAAATTTTTAAAAGGATCTGTTAGCACTGGGAAATTGAACAAAGTTTTTTCGTTAAAGAGTGTTGAGAGGTTTGGATTTAGAATATTGTTGTTTGTTTTAGAATGGTGTAGACTGTCTCAGCTGCTATGGTCGAATTTGTCACAGTTCTCAAAACGTGAGCAGAGTTTTTGCAGCAGGTTGTCAAATTTGGATCAGCACAAAGCTTCCTCAGTGAGATGGAAGCTCTTAATATAATGATATTACCTTTGTAGTTACACAGCATCAACTAGAAGGGGAAAAGCTCTGAGGAACAGCTATGTAATTATATCAACACTGAGTTAACACAGTGTGGCAGAGGTAAGTACTCTCCCGAGTGCCCTATTCACTTGTTATAAATGTACCCTTATCCGACATCAAGCTGCATCTCATGTCTTGTTACCTACTATACGTTGTGCTACATGTCTTATTTTATACCACAAATCTCTTTACATGTTCTAAGTGATCAACATAATTTAGACTTCTAGTAAATGACCGTAATTTGGTAATATCCCGAATGCAGACATTAGACCATTGTTAGAATAAAGTCAACAATATCTTGGCACTCATACATTCCTAAGGCATTTCAAACTAGCTTAACCATAAAAATGTTAAAGATATTATCCTAGAAAGAGGAATGAGGTGGAGAGACCTAAAGCTCTTTCAAGACAAACGCATTCAAGAAGAGGAGAGTGTGATAGTGAGGTCAAGAGATTTAGAGCATCTACTCAGGCAGCTGAAGAAAAAGTCAACAAAACTAGTGTAAAGGTAGGCATACATATACAAGACACCACAGTCAGATGAATGGAAATTCGATGAAGGTGATTGTAGGTTGGCAAACGTAATAGAGATAGGGAAGGAAAAATATGAAGGAATTCAAATATAGATACAAGAATTCTAAATCTGAGGCACTGGAAAAACAGGAATTCATATAGGTCAATAAAGGACAAGGCTGATAGGATGAGGAGGATTGATATGGAATAGGTTGACTAAGTTGAAATATGTGGAGAAAAAGATAGCCAGGACGATATTGGAAAGTTATGTTTGTAGATGACAAAGACCTGGATAAAGCTTCAGTTACCAATGGGCAGAGCGCGTGTAATGATGGGTGATATCACAGAGTTACATAACTTATACATGGCCAAGATTCTGAAGAGTCCAGCCCCAGAAAATTAATGAGAAGTAGGATGGAATTTGCAGCTGAACACAGAAACTGAAAACATAACTGCTTCAATTTTAAAGAAAGGAAATATCTTTGAGTAGTTGCCAACTTTTATAACGTGTAGAAGCATGTAGCATACAGCTTCACTTTTAAGAAAGAGTGAAAGAATGGAATTGCAGTGGCATAGGAGAGATGTTCAACAAGACACATAAAACTATGTGTGTTTGTGTTTTCGTACCTTCATTTCTATTTCAGCTGCTGTATGCTTTGTAGTTTCAAGTTTTTCCACCAGTAATGTATCTCCCAAGAAGTTCCAGTCTGCAGCTGAAAGTCGTGTCAAAAGCTCATCCTCAAGTAGCTTCAGTTCAATTTTGAAATCATTCTGTTGCTTGGTGAGTTCAGACTAAGAAAATGAATGCACTGTTTTTAATAAATAGAGTAGCAACCTAGCCTTTCTCATCTTAGTGGTAAGAATGAAATACCAAGAATAAAAACCTAGTTGTTCAAGATTGACAGTACTAAGTGTCCTGCGACTTGGGAAATTATCAGTCACTGTTAACATGTAGGCTGCTGCCACTGCCTCCATATTTAAATACCTTGCACCTTCTCTCCAACATGACAAACTGGAATCCATCTTAAAGTGTAACATCTATGCCACCCAGGCGTGTCGCCAGGTAGACTTCAGAACAGGTCATGTGGCCCCCATTATTTTGTTCTAAATTTAGAGATACAGTCCCAAATTATAACAATCTTAAACTTCATAGTTAGAACATCAGCACCAGTATCCTTGGATACTTGAGAACATGAACTCTTCATTTTTTTGCTGGCTTTCAGCTCAATAATGTTCAAAAACCACTAATGTAAATAATCCAACTATATTCCACAGGACCCATACTTCTGTTTTACTAATGCAACCAAAAAGGTCACAGGTGATCTTAATCAACAAATTGCAGCATTATGCAGGCAGAAAGATGTTTCCTGAAGATAGCGACAGAAATCCCCCATATTCAAAGATACTAAACTCTCAAACTCATCAGATTTCATCAGATTTTAACATTTCACATTGAAAAATAATTGCAGAGAGCATTTCCCCAGGGCCTGGTTTAAATCATTGAATAATTCATCAACAAGTATTGCGTTGTACAATTCAAACAAAAAATCAAATCACGTATTTTTCTGTCATGTTGAAATACTTTCACCAACTTAGAATTGAGCTCTCCGTCCTCTCGCATTTTCCATTGCAGTCTAAACCCATTCACAAGCATTTACTTTCTGTGTAAACCTGTTCTCCAGCTCTACAATAATGACACAAATGCACAGATTGCCTCAGAGTAGGGAGACTTCCTGAACCCATTACAGGATGAAGAATGGGAGTTGTTGTGGAGTCCAGCTCAGTGTCAACATCCAACAAAATAAAGAGCAGAAACTTAAAAATATATGTACAGAATGTATCAAACTCTCTATACCTTACGTGGTTTAACCCTATCCGCTAAACAAACTTTGTAAGAAAGCAGTCATACAGACACAGTCTGCTCCGAACCACATTTTCTGAAGAGTCAAAAGCACTCTCATCTTAGGCATCCAGAACTTAGACACAATCAGTTAAAAACAGATCTATGTATGCACTAATTGATCTAGTTCCTTCATATCAGAGTTGAAATATACCCATCTGTTATGACACAACAATCACAAATATAAATATATGGATAAGTCCACACTGTCACGCCTCATTGGCTGCAATGCAAATCAAACCCTATTATTTCCAGAGTTGTCAAAAATATGAAAATCTTATTAAACCACCAAATTGCCCAATTTACCTAACTCTAATTCAGGTTAAAAAAAATTGGTGTACCAGGCTTCCACTTACAAGAAAATAACTATTTATTGTATCAAACTCTTTTTAACCAATGTTAAAAACTAAACATTAATTGCTAATTTAAAACTGTATAATTTAACTGTACTCCTGTTTTAAAAAACTTCCATTCACATATATAGACAGACAAGACATGAATATTATGGGTGCGGAAAGGCAAAACAACTCAGAGAATCAGAGTTCTGGCACCAGTTTAGATCACAGACAATGAGTTGTTTTAGTTCAGCTCTTAATTTCTTTCGATTCCCTCTGATTCTTTGTCACTGATATGAAGTTGTACATGCACTGATTCTCAGTCTATCAGGGTGAATGAGCTTAGTTGGCTGGACAGGTGGTTTGCGATGCAGAGTGGTGCCAACAGCACAGGTTCAATTCTGTCACTGGATCATTGCATTTTTGCTATATCTTACTTTCCTGTATATTGGAATAATATCTCCCAGTTCATTCATTTTTCACCCATTCATTCCTACGCTACCAACCAGTTCTTACTCCACCTCAATACATGACCTCCAATCGCAGGCACTTTAATTTTGCATGCTAATTTCTTACATGGGAAATCTTATAAAAATCCTTCAAAATATTATGAGATGTTCTGAGGCGCATAGAGATCTTGGAGCCTTCATGCATGAATCACAAAATAATAGTGTGTTCAGCAAATAATTAGGAAAGCAAATAAATGTCATAATTTATCACAAGGGGAATTGAATAAAGCAGATAGGTTATGCTTCAGGCCCTGATGAGACAACTCCTAGTACGTCCTGCACAGTACTGGTCACCCTACTGAAGAAAATAGAAATAATAGATCAAGATAAATACATTGGAGGCAGTTCAGAGAAGGTTTGCCTAGAATGAGAGTGTTGTCTTATGAGGTAAGGTTGAACAGGCTAGACTCCTATCCAATGGAACTTGCAAGAGTAAGAGGTGACTTGATTGAAACATAAGGTGCTGATGGGTCTTGACAGGGTAGCTGTAGAGATGATATTTCCTTTTTATCGGAGAATTGAGAACTAGGGGTCACTGTTTAAAAATCGGGGGTTGCCTATTTAAAACAGAACTTTGGCTTTGGAACTATCTTCCTGAAAGGTGGTGGAAGCAGAGTGTTTGAATATATTTAAGGCAGAAGTAGACAGATTCTTGTTAAATAACCGAGTCAACAGTTATCAGCACTTGGGTAGAAATGTGGATTTCAGGTGACAGTCATTTCAGTCATGATTTGAGTGAATGGCAGAACAGGCTCAGGGCTCAATGGCCTGCTCCTTCTCTCAATTTATATGTTCCTATGTCTTGATCTTTCTCAAATTTTCCTACAATTTGCTCCTCTACCTTTCTTTTATTTTTTTCATGGAATGTAGGTTTTGCTAGCTTTGCCAGCATTCATTGCCCATGAAAAGGTGGTGATAAATTGTCTTCATGAATTGTTCCAGCTCTTGAGGTGTAGGGATAGCCAAAATGTTGTTAGAAAGGGAATACCAGGATTTGCCTCAGCAGTAGTGAAGGAAAGGCACTATAGTTCGAAGTTAGGATTGTAACCAACTTGAAAGTCATCTTGCGGGTGATGGTGTGATTATGTATCTGCTGATTTTGTCCTCCTTGTTGGTAGAAGTTGTGGGTTCGGAAAGTGCTGCGGAAAGAGCCTCACTTGGTTTACTGCAGTGCATTCCTTTCACAATTTGGCACAGACTCAATTGCATAATAGCTTCTCTATGAATTGGATGTCATGTTTATTTTAAATCCGGAATCTTATATAATGGTGTTTTTCTATGAAATTCTGATTTGGTTTTGCATAATTATTAACAATCATTGAATTAGAATTTTTAGAGTGAATCAATTTGAAATATTTAATTACATTGAACGCTAAAACAAAACAGTGAGTGAAATGTATAGGAAATTCATAATTGTATTCAAAAAGATATTTATGCTGATTTTGCTCCATCCAGAGCACAAAAGATATCAGCAGCTATAACTTGTTGGCATGTATAATGTATTACATGGAACATGGGAAGATCATGGGAAATGTTAATTCTCAAGAATCAATTTGAGGTGGTGGGAATGGCTTTTATTGCTCATCCCAAGTTGCTCTCGAGAAGTTGGTAGTGAGCTGTCTTCTTGAACTGCAAAAGTAAATACCAAGAAAAAGAAAGAAAATGAAAATGATATGGGGGCAAATCTGAAATTATGATCTGAAATTGTTGAATTCTGCGTCAAGACCAGAAATGGCCAACTGACAGCTTGTGTTGTAATCCATCAGAAGCCGAGGACAGCATTAGACACCTTGGTCTACACCTTAATGCCTCAAAATCCTCTTCCTAAGATTTCTTCCCTTGCAAGCGTAGAAAGATCCAATATTTCCCTTTCTACCTCCTCCTTTCCCAATACTGAAGACCGAGATACTCCTTCCAGTTGAAACAGTAGTTCACATGTACTTTCAGTTTTGTACACTGTAATCATAGCTCATGATCTAGTCAGCTCTACCCTGGGGAGATCAAATGTAGATTGGGTGACTATTTTGCAGAATACCTCCATTTAATCTTCAACCTCTCTATTCACCTGTCATTTCAATTCTCTACCTTGATCATATGCTGTTTTTAACCTCCTGCAGTGTTCCAATTAAGTTTAATGTAATGCTAAAGAACAACACCATCTTTTAAAATTCACTTATAGTATGTGAGTGTCACTGACTAGACGAGCATTTATTGCCCATCCCTAGTTACTCGAGAAGTTGTTGGTCAGCTGCCTTCTTGAACCACTATAGTCCATTTGATTTAACCACACTGACAACATCAGTAGAAAAGGAGTTTCAGGATATTAACTCAGCAACACTGAAGGAATGGTGATATATTTTCAAGTCTGATTGCTGAGTGGCTTGGAGGGGAACTTGCAGGTATCTTCTAAACTTCATCTTCTAGATGGTGGTGGCTGTGGGTTTGAAATGTGCTGTCTTAGCAGCCTTGGTGAATTTCTGCAGTGTACCTTGTCGATGGTATGCACTGCTGCTGAGTGTCGGTAGTGGAGGGACTAAAAGTTTATGGCTATGGTGCCAATCAAGCGGGCTGCTTTATGAGAGACTGTGTGAAACTTCTTGTGCGTTGTCAGAGCCACACTCATCCAGATAAGTGAAGAGTATTCCTTTACACTCATGACTTGTGCCTCGTAGATAGTGGACAAGCTTTGATACCACTGAATGTCAAAGATTAATGGTTAGATTTTCACCAGTTGGAAATGGTCATTGCCTATTCTTAGAAAGAATAGTAAAATAACCCTCAGATTAAAAAAAACACTGAAAGAACTGTGGATGTTGCAAATCAGAAACAAACAAATTGCTGGAAAAGTTCAGCAGATCTGTTAGCATCTGTTCAGGTCCACTGACTCTTCTTCAGAATTCAAGACCCTTCTGAAGAAGAGTCAATGGACCTGCAACATCAACTCTGCTTTCTCTCCACAGGTGCTGCCAGACCTGCTGAGGTTTTCCAGCAATTTCAGTTTGTGTAACTCTCAGATAAAAGCAGGCAGAGGGACAACAGTTATTCTGACGTTACAAGTAGCTACCTGTTACCATTAACCGAAAAAGGTTAGACACAGTAGAGATTGCCAGCCCCGAAAATAATTTTGATCAAAAGTAGTAGGTGGGAAGGTAGAAGATTCATGGGAACAAGCCACCACCTTCTTGGGAGAAGACCAAGAGTTTTCCTACCTCAGCCAAAGGGAAGAACAAAAACTGTTACCAGCAAAGATACAAGACATCAGGGATGAACACTCTGTCACACTACCACTCCAAAACCTGTGTCCCTGCTCCTCCATTCTACAGCATGGCTTCAGAACTGGTAAAGCATTCTCATCTGTCACGAGTCATGTATTTCCATTCTTTAGTTAAATAGTGAATCATATCTGAACTACTGCTTCTTTACAAACTAAATTATCTTTCTGAAAATTCCATATAATGGTCAACCCCATCTTTAGGTAACCATGATCACTAGCCCCTAAAATCTAAGACTAACCATGTTGCAAGCCAAGCTGTTCGAGTAAAAGTTCAAGTGAAAGTAAGTGTACAGTTTGGAAAATTGCCCAGTCATATTGTTTGCAAAGTGCACCAGAAATCCAATCTGACCAATGATGGCATAATTCATCTGCTCTCAATCATCAGCAAAATGAGGGAAGATTGTATCAAATGACATTTATATGTCAATAATCTGGTCACTGTGGATGATGTGGGTTCTACCAAGGTTTTTATCAGAAGATGGACCTGAATGGGGCGGGGAAGTGAGAGTGTGAGAGTGCAGGAGGAGGAGAGAGTGACTGCTTTTACATCAAAGCAACAATTAAGGGGAAAATGTTCTTCAGGTTGCAGTTCCACCTAGCACAGAAGAAGATCGAGATTGGACTAAAATGGTTAGGTTGCAACAGAGGTATCACTACAGATGTTCCTCAGTGTAGTGTTCAACCATCTTCAACTCCTTCCCTCCATTAGAAGCAGCGATGTCCTCTGATAACTGTGTAGTTTTAGTATTGTTCACAACTGTGTTGATACTGGGCGGTCTGAGACCATATGCAAAAAGATGTGGATAGCATTCATAGATAGTAGGAACTGCAGATGCTGGAGAATCCGAGACAGCAAGGTGCAGGGCTGGATGAACACAGCAGGCCAAGCAGCATCATAGGAGCAGAGAGGCTGACGTTTCGGGCCTAGACCCTTCATCAGAAAAAGGGGGAGGGGAAGGGGGTTTTGAAATAAATAGGGAGAGAGTGGGAGGCGGGAGGAGGGATAGAGGAGAGGATAGGTGGAGAAGAAACAAACAGGTCGAAGAGGCGGGGATGGGGCCAGGAAAGGTGAGTGTAGGTAGGGAGTTAGGAAGGGGATAGGTCAGTCCAGGGAGGACGGACAGGTCAAGGGGGCGGGATGAGGTTGGTCGGTAGGAGATGGAGGTGCGGCTTGAGGTGGGAGGAGGGGATAGGTGGGAGGAAGAACAGGTTAGGGAGGCATCCGGAGGGACAACTCTCTCCGTGACTCCCTCGTCCGCTCCACACTCCCCTCCAGCTCCACCACACCCGGCACTTTTCCCTGCAACCGCAGGAAGTGCTACACCTGCCCCCATACCTCCTCCCTCACCCCCATCCCAGGCCCCAAGAAGACTTTCCACATCAAGCAGATGTTCACCTGTACATCTGCCAATGTGGTATACTGCATCCGCTGTACCCGGTGTGGCTTCCTCTACATCGGGGAAACCAAGCGGAGACTCGGGGACCGCTTTGCAGAACACTTACGCTCGGTTCGCAACAAACAACTGCACCTCCCAGTCGCGAACCATTTCAACTCCCCCTCCCATTCCTCAGACGACATGTCCATCCTGGGCCTCCTGCAGTGCCACAACGATGCCACCCGAAGGTTGCAGGAACAGCAACTCATATTCCGCTTGGGAACCCTGCAGCCCAATGGTATCAATGTGGATTTCACAAGTTTCAAAATCTCCCCTCCCCCCACCGCATCCCAAAACCAGTCCAACTCATCCCTGCCTCCCTAACCTGTTCTTCCTCCCACCTATCCCCTCCTCCCACCTCAAGCCGCACCTCCATCTCCTACCGACCAACCTCATCCCGCCCCCTTGACCTGTCCGTCCTCCCTGGACTGACCTATCCCCTTCCTAACTCCCTACCTACACTCACCTTTCCTGGCCCCATCCCCGCCTCTTCGACCTGTTTGTTTCTTCTCCACCTATCCTCTCCTCTATCCCTCTTCTATCCGCCTCCCACTCTCTTCCTATTTATTTCAAAACCCCCTTCCCCTCCCCCTTTTCTGATGAAGGGTCTAGGCCCGAAACGTCAGCCTCTCTGCTCCTATGATGCTGCTTGGCCTCCTGGATAGCATTCATGCTTGGGCTGATTTTAGCCAACAATCATCATGCCAAGAAGGTTGAGGCAATGACTGACCCAATCCAACAATAGAAAAATCTGTGTCTTTTTGATATATCCTGGTATTTCCATCAATGAAGTTCCACTGTTAACAGCCTTGGGGTTACCAACTGCCAAAAACTTAGCTAGATGGCTAGAAAAACACTGAGGCTTCAAGAGCAGGTCAGAAGCTGGGAATTCTGTAACAAGTAACACCTCCCCACACTTTAAGTTTGACCAAGACACAGATCTGGAGTGTGGTGGAATACTCTCTATTTGCCTGGCTGGACACAGCTCTAAAAACTCTCTAAAAAGTTTGACACCATTCAGGACAAAGCAGCCTACTTGATTGGCTCCTTATGCATCACCTTCTTCTGCCATTGCATTGTGCCAATGCATAATTATTGTAAATATATTATATTTATTATAAATATGTAATTTACATTAGTCTCTGCAGCAACTTACCAAGGTTCCTTCAACCACACCTTCCAAATCTGCAATCTCCACTATCTGAAAGGACAATGGCAACACCCGCACTGAAACAACCAATTGCAGGCTCTCCATTAAGCCACACACCATTCTGATTTGAAAGTGGATTGCTGTTCATTCATTTTTGCTGGGTTAAAATCCTGAAACTTCCAAACAACACTGTAGGTGTACCTACACCATGTGGACTGCAAATTTTGAAGATGACTGCTCACCTACCTTCTCAAAGGCAATATAGGGATGGGCATTAAATGCTGATCTCTCCAGTGACACAACCCACAAGTAAATAAAGAAAAACAAATGCAGCCTCACCTGTTGAGTGCTTGCAGCATTTTCTGTGTTTATTTCATTGTTGTTGAACAATGTATGGACTAAGAAGAACATGATAGAATTACCTTAAGCTGTTCCAGATCAGGTCTTTCAAGGCTCACCACTTCTGCTAGTAGCTGGTCTTCTAAACCATCACGAGTGACTGTAAAGTTAATCAGTGTAGTCTGTGCCTGTATTTCAGGTTTGTAGTGAGGATTAGCCAATTTGGTGTGTAGAATTAAACGGAAATTAGGATGCAATACACACTCTTTATCTCCAATCCTAATGTACCTTTGAAAATAAGAATTGGTGGTGTTTTTTCTAAATTTCATACAAGCAAATTTCAAGCTAATGTTTAATTAATAAGCATTAAAATACAAATCTAACACTACCTTCCTTTCTTAATGATGTGTCTGCAAAGTAAAGGATCCAGCACAGGATCAATGGTCTCTTCCATGTTTTCTATTAAAATAGGATTTCCCACGACAAGTGCTTTTTCTATAACATCCACATATCTAAAAAAAGATGTTATCCAAGATTGTTAATGGAAAAATTCAGAACAACTTTAATAATATGAATCACATTTCAATTATAACAGGCATCCAAAAAGCAGATTAAGAATTCTCTTGCAGAGTATTCTTTATTCGTTACATGAAGTTATCATAAGTAGATTATGTACCAACAGAGGAATGGGAGTTTGAGGAAAAGATAGAGGAATCCATGAAAGTCCAGTTGTCCTATGCTGGTGGTGTAACCATGACACAGTAGGATACCTATTCCCTAGATCTAGGCATCCACATCATTGCCATAATTCCAAAGTAATTGTATTTACAAAAAGCCCACACCAATATTGTTATTGAATGCATACCTGCCAGATAGTGAAGGACAGTCGGAGGGACACAATGCATTGGGTGATAATGTAGGAAGAAGTCAGTGAGTCAATAGCTCTGGACATGCTTTAAGCAGAAGGTGGGTAACCTTATGGCAGTTGATTGCTTCAAGGCTGGTTACTATGAAACAAAGTAGCTGAATAATTTAGTGGCTCCCAACTTCCACAGAATGTGCTAAAGAATCATGCAGGCAAACCCTGTGCCGGGGACACCAAAGACAGAACAGGCAGGTAGTCTGATGGACATCATCCGCCTGGCAATTCCACTTGTTTTCTTGATGTCACAGGAAAGGTGACAACACTAGAAGCTGCTATTCCTTCAAGAACCTCTGCTGCTAAACCGATCAGAGATTAGATTAAGAGACAACAAGGTGCAGGGCTGGATGAACACAGCAGGCCAAGCAGCATCATAGGAGCAGAGAGGCTGACGTTTCGGGCCTAGACCCTTCATCAGAAAAGGGGGAGGGGAAGGGGGTTTTGAAATAAATAGGGAGAGAGTGGGAGGCGGATAGAAGAGGGATAGAGGAGAGGATAGGTGGAGAGGAACCAAACAGGTCGAAGAGGCGGGGATGGGGCCAGGAAAGGTGAGT